ATATAAACAGCTTTGTCCTTTAATGAAACATTTTCTTAATTAAAAAAATTGATTTAGTAAAAATAACACCTTTAATTTGTCTTCTTCTTAGCCAAATAAAACAATTTAAAATCACAAGCAAACAACATAGAAAATTTCTTAGTATTGTTTGTTTTGAAGATAATTAGATAAAGATTAAATAGTTATGCTAAGATTAATTATTTTAATATTAACTTTTATTATTTGATTTTTTGTATTAAATATAATATACAATCGCATAATTTTTTAAAAGAAGTGATTTGTTTACAAAAGTATTATGTACATTTTTAGTAGAAAAAAAATGTGAGGAATCTCAATTTATTTATTCTAAAATGACTAATATTTTACCCTTCTTCTGATATAAAAAAAAATAACTAGCGTCCTGATATTATCATTACGATAACAGAGTACTACTAGTGCCACGTCTCATACTCAAGCAATGCAATTGGATTAGGAGGATAATAAGACAAGATTAGAGAAATCTAAGGGCAGTAGAATTATGATTAGTTAATTAATAATGGCGGTGTTAATTAATTAAATTATTCCAATCTGGAATATAATTGTAACGTGATGATATGGAATATATAATGAGTAGGGAAACTGCTTGTCGGGGATAAACAAATTAATTTTCCTGCTTTCACGTTCATTGTCTTTGTCACTACTACGTTTTATCCTTAATTAATTAAAAACACCAGCAATTTATAATGTTCATCAGGTTCTATTGGTGGTGATCAATTCATATACTTGGATTTTTGAATTGATTATATCATAACTAGGTGAAGGGACGTGGTTGGGTGCATATTCTTTTTCAAAAAATTATGTAGCGTAAAAATATGTAATATCATGTGAAATTAGATTTTGAGTATAATTCACAAAATAAAAGTTTTAGTTCAAAGAAAGGAGATTTGGTGATCAAAGCCTTATAACAATAACACTCGTTTCATTAATTATTAAGGTGAGACGTTTCCATTATCACACATCCAGGTTTGGACATTTGGTGCGCGGAGAAATTTAACTAATTTAGGGGTCTAATATTCGGTAATATGAATCTTGTTTATAAAATTACGCCATGGGTTTAATGCACATTCCAAATTAAAATTAGTTTAATTAAGGATTCAAAACCTAACCTAGAATGATTGGCCAAATTTTGTGAAATCAGAAATAAAAAAGATAATTTTAATTTATCTCTTTTGTTAATGGTGTAATTTAACCGTAGTGCTCACAGCTTAAAACCGTGTGCCAATTGTATGGGGATATACAAAACTTTGTCACAAATAAAATTATGATTAGAAAATATACACCGTATAAAAGTCAACAACAATTGGGTTTATTTAGTTTCTTGGGCAGTTCACACATTTTTTTCTCTATAAAAGAATTTTTTTTTGATATAGTCTTAAGAATATATCGTTTTTAAGTTTGCTTTTATCTCATTGTTAAACCTCGCTTAATTAATTAATTTTAAAATTATTTTATCTTATTAGTTATATAGAAACAATGAAAATATTATCTTATATACAAAATAAAATGCAATAATCTTATCAACGTCTCTACTTATTCATATTGAACCATCCTTATTTAATTGGGGAGCAATTATGATTTTGAAAATAAAGTAGCAAATATTCTTCATTTCATTTTAGTTGTTACCTCCAAGTAATTCACTTTAAAATTTAAAACTCAAGTTGAAAAAATCCACTATTTATTTTTAAAATATTAAATAAGTAAAAGTAGCAGTAACAAAAAGAATAAAGAAGCTAAAAAGAGAAATAGCATAATTATAGCAGCGATGGTAGATCAAAAGTTCTATTTTTGCCTCCAGAGTAATTTACCTTTCTAAACAACATTTAATTCATATCCATATTTAAATTATGGAACACGTTTTATCTTTAAACCTTAATACTCACTTCATTTTGTTTTATTTGATTCTTATATCAAAAATTGTTATTTTTTTTATATGTCCATTTTGATAAATTAAGAGAAATTTATTATTATGCTCTTTTAAAAAATTAACCTTACTAATTATGCTTGAAAAGTGCTTTTTTTTTTTAAAAAAAAAAAAGAAGAAAAATTCTAAACTAGAAATAATGACATTCATGTTAAAAGAAATATGTGTTTATACAAATTAAACCATTTTAATAAGAAAAAATAAGACTATTATTTTCATAATTCAACACTCAAGAAAAAGTGAAAAATATTGTGACCAAGGGAGGGAAAATTATATATAAAGAGAAAATGGAGTTTTATTTTAAAGTAGTACTAGTATAATTTTAATGGAGATTCCATAATAAACTTTTGTATTACCATAATAGAGCTTATTTTGTCCCCTTTTGGGTACCTTTCTTCTATATAAATCTTTACAACCCCACCACTCCTAAAAACTCCTCACAAAATTTTAAGTAGTAATAATTGTTAAGAGAAAAATGGAAGAAATGGCTTCTTTATGGTCTTACCAAGAGGTGAAAACACTTGTTCATTTTCTATTTTTGTTTATACACTTGTTTTGTTTTGTTTAAACTTTGCATCATACTTTACAATGTAAAGGTAAGGTTTGTGTAGGTAGACTCTAATAATTCTGTTTCAATTCTTGCAGACAATTGATGAAATGAGACACAAACTTGTTTACACTAGTCTTGAACTTGAAAAGATGAGTGAAGAAATGATGAAGAACAAAGAGTACGTGAAGCAATTAATCCAATTGTTGAAAATGGTTTGTGAAGAAAGAGATGAACTTCATAAACTAGTTGATAGTATGAAGTCAACAAAAGCAAATTCAAGTATAACTGATCAATCCAACAGCAACAATTACTATTCATCCCCTGAATTGGAATATTCCAATATAAATTCAAATCCAGTAGAAGTTGACAATGTTATTGAAAGTTTTGTTAAGGGGAAAACTTTGCCTCAACAAGGGAAACTCTTGCAGTCTGTTGTTGAAGCAGGGCCACTTCTACAAACACTTTTAGTGTCAGGACAACTTCCTCAATGGAGGAATCCACCACTTCCCTTTAAACATCTCAACTATCCTGCTTCAACATCTACGATAAACTTTGCGAATTCTTATTCTGCTTCCTCTTTGGAAAATCACAGCTTCAATCCAAATAGGAACACTACTTTTGTAAAGAGACAAAGGTTGCATTAATTTATGTACAAAGCATTTTGTAAATGGAACATATTGATCAGCATTAGCTTTTGATGAATTCAATGAACAGTAATAATAGAATTTTGAATTTTCATATGTCTATATTTGGACTCTTTGTAAATATAGACTGACTGACTTATCATTTTTTAAAACTATTCTGACAGCAAAATTCTGAAAGCATCTTGGTGGTTGCATAGATAGTGACAAAGTTATCAATATCTTTGGTATATAATGAAAAGATTAAAGATACCAAAAGGCAATAGAATTTGATCAGTCCTATAGAATTCTCTTTCTTCATTGTCTGGGAATGGTAGAGACCTCTACTTAAATGAACTCGTCCGAAAGTTAAGTAGTGTAAAATTCTTGGATTCATCACCAAGACCTTGTTTGTCTATACTTTGAAATAACCGTCAACCATACATGTCCTCAACAGTTTTTCTGAACTTAGTATTCTCTCCAATTACTAAGGTACTAAACTAAGTAACTTGTCCTAAAAGGCCTATCAATTCAATTCTTACAAGTCTTTCCTGTTGAAATTCAGAATAGCATGTCTAGTCCAGACTCCACTCCACGGATTGGACCTTCGCATTGGGATCCGCTACTGATTGTCTCTGTAGGGATAGTTTGTTTTATCCTTCTGCTATTCAGTTACTTCAAGATTATACAGACGCGTTGCTGTGGATTTCTAACCGTGCATTTCTACAGAAATCCAATTCAAAGGCGTCCACTAAACGATCATATTCTTGAAGATCATGATTTACAGCTCCAAAGTCGTGGTTTAGACTCCTATATTATGCATTCACTACCAATCACTCAGTTCAAGAAGAACGAGGAACTAACTGCCCCACTAAATAACGCAGATTGTGCAGTTTGCTTAGGTGAATTTCAAGAAGGTGAATGGCTGAAACACTTACCTTATTGCTCTCATGTCTTTCATGTTGCCTGCATTGACACTTGGTTTCAGATTCATTCAAGCTGCCCACTATGCAGATCAAATGTGTTTAGTGTCAAAATGCAGCAAGGACATTCCATTACTATGAACACATTACTGGAAACTCTGAGAAGGGAAGATTTTAATCGGGAACGATCAGTACACAACGAGAATATGCGGTCACAGAATCATTCTTTCTAGAGTTGTAGAAGGAAGCACTGATTAATGGTTTTTCTTCCAATTGTGTCTAACAAATACTTGGTATGTCTCTCAATCACTACAATGTATGTACTAAGTGCTTCAGATTTCTTTCTTCTGGTAAAGAGCTTCTTGAACAAGGAGGATTTCGATGGATATCATACTATTGTATTAGCAAAGACAAGCCCACACGCACGAGAAGATGTTGATAAGAGACTAGGAATTCTATAAGAACATAGCTAGAAACTAAGCAGCTTCATCCTTCACTTCTCTTTCTGGTTGTCCATGAAAGTTAATAGTCGGCGATGTACGTTTGGTTCAGCCAAACCAGAAGGAGATTTTAACAACTTCAGAGCATACAAGTGAAAGATATATGAAGAACACATTTTAATTATTAATTCTTTTATCCTTCTTAGCAGAATTATTCTGCAACAGGAGAGGAAAAAGAAAGAATCAGAATAACAAATCAATAGAAACTAGACGCGATAATTGACTGAGTAAAACTAGGCCAATCAAACTTGAAACACAAATTATACCAAACTAATTTAAACTGTGGTCACCTGAAGTTTATAGCTCCATTGAGGTATATGTTTTGGTTTAAGCGTATCGATTGAAACTCACATTTTTCCTTACTTCTACTGTTTGTTTCAGTTGGTTGAACATAGTAGTAGTTGGAACTTGCAAAATCTCTCAAAAGATGAAATGAGATAACAGAAATCAAGGTAAAAAGAGATCATTGAGCTTTTGTATCAAGAAGGTATTTATGTATAATGAGTGCTTTAGTGTGTTTTCTTTTCTGTAATTGGAATATATCTCAAAGAATAAGTTGTACAATAAAAAAATGTGAATGAAGTATGAAACAGATGAATGTCTCTCCCTCCTTGAAAGTAATCTGTACTTACTCAACTTTCATATCTTTCCTGGGATGGATCTTGTTTCTCCAAATTCCGTTTGATTGACGCCTTAATAGGTCCTTGTACATCAGATCCATATATGTGACCCATCTTTGTTCTTTTGGTTTCCAAATACTTCCTGTTCTCTTCTGTGAAGGGTGTCAAAACTGGTACCCGTCCAACGACTGCTAAACCATAGCCCTTTAAACCCGTAAATTTTGCTGGATTGTTAGTCATTAGGCGCATGGTACGGACTCCTATATCCCTTAACATCTGTTGCAATCAATGAAATCATACTCTTCCATTAATTAATAGTTAGTTACTCTAGTAGTAGAAAATAAGCACATGATCACACTAACCTGTGCGCCAATGCCATATTCACGAGCATCTGCAGCAAAGCCGAGCTCTAGATTGGCTTCAACAGTATCATGTCCCTCATCTTGCAAATTATAGGCCTGAAGCTTGTGGCCTAAGCCAATGCCTCGTCCTTCGTGGCCTCTGAGATAGATAACCAAACCCCTACCAGCTTCCTCAATCAGCTGCATTGCTAAATCCAGCTGATTACCACAATCACATCGTCGTGATCCAAAAATATCACCTGTCAAACACTCCGAATGTACCCTTACCAACACATCTTGACCATTTCCGATATCACCCTGTTGAAGGCTTTGAAGTTTAAAGGAATTCCAGATGATAAAATTCACTAAACACTAATAATTTACACTATCAAAGGAGAAATCTCTGACCTTTACGACAGCTATATGCTCCGTACCATCAAGCTTTGAACGGTAACAGTATGCCTCGAATAATCCCCATTTAGTTGGTAAACGTGATACTGCAGTTCTTTCAACAAGCTTCTCCCTCTTTCTCCTATATCTGCAAGCAGTGAAACATGACATACAAATAAGAAACTTGACCATTGTTGCTTTCTCAAGCTTTAGTACACATTGAAGGCTGCAATACGAAAAATATGTTAACGATTCACCTTACTAAATCAGTTATTGATACAATCGGAATCTTGTGGTCCAAGGCCAAATTTTTCAAAATGTGCATAGAGGCTATAGAACCATCATTTTTATCAACTATAGTTGAAAGAACAGAAACTGGTTGCAAGCCAGTTGATGTTACTAAATCAACCGAAGCCTCAGTATGACCAAATCTTCTTAAGACTCCACCATTCCGATACTTGAGAGGAAAAACATGGCCTGGCCTTATGAAATCTTCAGGAGTAGAAGTAGGAGATGACAATGCCAGGACAGTTTTGGCCCTATCCGAAGCCGATACACCAGTAGATGTGCCCTTCTTAGCATCCTTTGCATAATTAAACATGGTACTTCAGTAAGTCACCAATACACAACAGCTTGTAAAATTGTTATCTTTATGGTATACTGCAGCCTATCCAGTATTACATGGTGAATAATTAATACATAGCAAATTATGGTATTAGCAATACACGGAAAAAGCATGATGGAAGACATACTACACCAAACGAAAACCGTGCATATATAAGAAGTAACCCCAACACAACTAATATCACTATTACTAATAGACCTTATTCAGTACTATTCTTATACACTCTACCAGACAAACGGCTTCTAAGTACATTATTTTCTATGGAAGGAAGAGAAGAGTAATATCATATTACCACTGTGATTGTGAAGGATGGAGCAGAAGATTCATCTTGTTTTTCAGGTGACATCAAAGGAAGATTAAGCCTCTCCAGATCCTCTTCTTTCATGCCCACAGAAATAATGCCTGAACCATGTCTCACCATAAATGCAATTGCCTCAGCACTAACAAATGATGCTGCCATGACAAGGTTTCCTTCCACTTGTCCACTTTCATCATCTACAACAATGACAAACTGACACATTTTCACAATCATAAGTTCTACCAAATGAAAATGAAAATCTACTACTATAATATGACTCATAAAGAGTGTGACTGTCTCATTAAAGTTTAAGTTGTTAGCGAGTACATATCTTCAACATATAGTCTCACATAAATTATGTTTTCAGGTATCACATTTATTTTAAAAATTGTTATTTTTGAGGTACCATGAGTGAAATACTATTGAAAAAAAATATATTTATATATGTTAAAAACAAATGCAAACCATGATAAATCGGTATGACTTCTTCCGATCGATCTTATACCCTACCTAATTGTCTTGTCCGATTACTCAAACATCATGTTGTACTTCATTTTATTTGAAAATCAATGTTCAATTGTAAATTCAAACCACTTTTGAAGTTGGTTTTCAAATACGAAAAGTACATTCAACCATGAACATTATTCCAAACAGTCTTTCACAGAAAATATCACCAAACACAACTATATTGCCAAACCTCTACTAAGTCAGGGTTTTTCAAAGATCACCGTTAAAAAAACAAACATGTTTGACATTCAAAATGTAAAGGAGAGTAAAGCACCAACCTTTCCTTGAGACAATGCATTAAGTGCTTCTCCAATTGAAGAATAGCCTTTAGTTGGACAATCAGGATCACCCTCTGTTTCACTCACAAAGAAATCAATAGTTATTTCAGCACTCAATAAAGATCCATTCTCAAATGGAGTCTCAGCAGCCTTACATGTCCAAGTATTCAAATTGGGAGATGATAGTTTTTTTCTGTACTGTCCAATTCCAACAATATTATTATTATTATTATGTGAATGACCAAAAGATTGATGATGAACATTTGAACTAATGAAGATTCTTGGAACTAATAGCTGATTGAACAACACACAATCCATGTTCAGAAAAATTGTTGTTTTAATTACAAAAAATGTTCACTTGGAATTTTGCAAGAGAGTACCTCTAGTTTTATGATCGTCTTATCCAAAAAAAAACGATTTTGAACGTAGGTGGACTTATAAGGACCACATAATTAATTCCCTCTTCCATTTCAGAAAAAGAAAAAAAAAACTTACAACTGTTAGCTAGCTAACTAACAAAAAAAAGTTTGTCTTGTCATATTCGAGGCTTATAGAAGGTATTTGACTCTTATCCAGTTGTAAGATATAATAATTCTGACTAAGTTAACAAGATGGTTTGCAATCTCCCTGAATTTATACTTTGACATTAGCAAGTTTCTTCAAGTGTCAATAATAATCATGCAATATGGAGCGCGTAATTTTCCCTAGCTATAAGTAGAAAATGCTAGCGCAAAGGTAGGTCTCATAGATAGCTTCTTTGAATGATTATGAGGTTGAGATGTCGAGCCTCTTTCATTTCTTATGCGTTTGTCTTACTTTCCTTTGAAATCGACAATGATATACATGAAATTGTAAGTAACACGTTGAACATATATACTTCCTCAATAACATGATGAAGCAATATCGTTAACCATAGAAATAAAAAATCAAAGTGTTTGTTTTTCTTTTGGTCCAATTTTTCTTTTTATATAGGACCATTATTAGTATTGGTTTACAAACCTTATTGTGATAAAAATGATCAAATGGTAATCTATCGCTTGCAGACAACTCCACGTCCATAAATTCCGCTATTGCAATTCAAACTTGGAAGCTCTAAGTTCATTGAAGCCTTAAAAATGTCGGATTGTTCTTCATTTGCTTGAAACCTAGCTACAGAACAATCAGCATTGAAGAGTCCTGAAGCTGCAAATTTTCTGTCACCTCCCATTATTGGCATCAAAACACCCATCTTAACTTTGCTCACGTAGTCCTTCTTATAAGTTTGGCCTAAAACACCATTCACTTCATCACTCAGAGATACAAACTTGAACCCAAGTTCAAGATGAGCAAAGCAATCATCACTCGTTATCCCATAGTTATGTACCCGTGATTCATGCTCTGTAATAGGCACAATCTTGGCTGTGATTGTCACAACATTTTCTACATCAATGACAACCTCGTTAGTATTGCTGATTCTTGTTATTGAGGTCTTACGTACAGTTTCAGATTTCCAACTCGCGCCATCACTTTCAGGAAGAAATATTGGTTCATCGTTGAATTGAAGGGCTAGACGGTCAATGGAATCATCCCATGTTGATGTTTTTAGTGCGGCAACTGAGATTTTGTGAGTTCCATAAAGGATACCAATGGATTGTACCCAAGTAAAGTCTCTCTTCATGTTCTCGTTTCTCCTTCCGATGAAGTGTGCATTTATGTGGAATTCAGGGTCTGAAACAAGGCAAAAATCTTTGTCCTTCTTTCCATGGAAGTAAAAGGTAATTCCATCTCCACCGATGAATCGTGGATCTTGGCAAACTGCTCCAGGCTTGTCACATTCTACACAAATAAAAAGAATAAGGCAAAAAAAAAATAGAGAAATTGTTGCAAAAAAAATAGGGAAAATTAGTAGTACTACTTACTACAAACGGGCTTGCAGGAGACACAATCGACTTGACAGCTCTCGGGGCAAGAGGCAGGGCATGCATGCTGGTTAGCATAACAACTAGGGTAGTACTTGTTCTTGCACTTGACCATCTTAGGTGTGGGTGGTTTAGGAGTGGGTGGTGGATAAACCGGAGGAGGTGGAGATGAGGGTGGTACTGAAGGTGGTGGAGTATCTTCCATAGGAGGAGATGGCGGTGGAGTATCTTCCTTAGGAGGAGATGGCGGTGGAGTATCTTCCTTAGGAGGAGATGACGGTGGAGTATCTTCCTTTGGAGGAGATGACGGTGGAGTATCTTCCTTTGGAGGAGATGGTGGTGGAGTATCTTCCTTAGGAGGAGATGGCGATGGAGTATCTTCCTTA